ATGAGCCCCAACCACTGCAAGGCAGGAAAATGCTCCCTGTGCTGATACAGGCATGTAGGGGAGAGGGTCCTTGGGCTTGATGGTCCATCCCAGGCACCATGCCTGCAGCAGTCAGAAAGGGCTTGCACTGACTCCACCCAGGAAGAATTGAACCACTAAGGTCAGGATCCAGTTCCCTAGATACGTATACATATCACCAGCCCAGAGCTCCCACCTCTCCTCAACAGAAGGGTTCCCACTCTTCCACCAGCTCTCACACCTGACCAGTGGGAGAAAAGGCAGGGAACAGACTTGAGATGTCCTAAAGAAATATGGTCCCCAAACTGTCAGGATACCATCCAGTCCCTCTTGCTTTCCATCCTCTTGCCAAGGGTCCCCAGAAGAAAAGCAGAATAGCCCCAGTCAATCTGTGACTGATCCTGGCCACTGCTCATCTCAAGGCTTTTTCTCTGTGTCTTGGAAAGTTCATGGATCAGGTTTGCATCTTGTGTTTGAAAACCCTCTTCTGCTCCTTAGCGGATCTGGAAAGGGCCAACCCTGAAGCCTAGAAATGACAATGTCCCTGGAGCTTCTCCGGACATTTCCCTTGCTACAAATCATTATTTGCAGTGAGGTTGGGGAGTCACTGGAGGAGCAGCGTGGGCCAGGCTACGGGGTGTGGGCAGAGGAGCTGGTTTCTGCCATATCAGGGAACCTAGATGAGAGGCTGGAAGCATCTCTGATGGCTTGTTGATGCCTAGCCATCTGAAAGCAAAAGCAGGGCCAAACTAGTCCTCTCAGGTCCCACCCAGGCCAGCCTCCTGGCCAGATCAGGGCTGCCTCCAGTGATACCCTCCTGCATTATCTGGGACATGGGAAGACCCAGCAGTCCAAACAACCCATGGGATTACTGCCAGCTTCCAAGGGCTGCACAGAGGTTCTTTCCAGGGAGGAACACAGCACTTTGGCCACATGCAAGTGCCCAGAGATTTCACAGCTGTAAATCTGAAAGCTGATTGACTTCAAGAAACTTCAAGGACTTCAGAAGGAAAGGTCTTCTTCCTACCTAATACTGATGACTATCACATGAGGAGCTCAGAGAACTGAGCTTCAGCACTGCTCTACAATTTGTCTTTGGATGCAGCAGACCTGGTGGTCCTGGCATAGTGAGCACCTTCCTCTGATTTTCTGAGTTGTCCTTGTGAGAGGGTTGCATCTGAAGAGTAACTAATGCCATGTATGACTCAGCATAAAACAAGCTGCAGCTGGGGAAGGAAAACCATTTCACTATGGTTTGGTCCTTTTGGCTTATGGGCTGCTGGGGTGGAAAAGATGAATCCAACACCCTTTGCACTATTCTTGTGCTGCTGCTGTTGCCTTGTGCCCACCCAGCCAAAGTGAAGGGTTGACTTAAGACACCAGCTGACCCTGCCACAGACCAAGGGCACAGGGGGACAACAGACTCAAAATACCACTCTCATAGGTAATACTCTTCTGTAAATTACTTTTTAACTAAAGGTTTATTATGCCAGCTATGCTGATAGAACATGAAGTTTGTTTAGTTGTGTTTGGTGCCTATGCTTGGAAACATGGCATTTCAGCAGCCCAGCTCAGTAGACCCAGGACGATGAAACTCAGCAGACCCAGGATGATGAAACACAGCAGCCAGGGCTGATGTGGAAAAGAACCACTAGACTTTATTCCCAAATGGCATTTATAAAAACAAACAAACAAAGACACAATGGAGGATTCAGGAATGCGTGGCCCGTGGGGCACAGCATGGCCAGGTCCGTGCCATTGGCACCTGTGGAGCAAGCAGCCAACAGAAGGAAAAGATACAGGGGAGGCAGCTCCTGGTTAGGTCTAGCAATGACAAGCCTCCTGCACTGCCCAGACTTGCCACCCACCAACACAGTTGCTTCATTTCAGTGTCCAGACTCCAAGATATGAAATTCAACCACTGACCTGGACTTCACATCAGACTGGCATGGGGAAGCCAGGCCCTGTGCTCCCAGCGCAGGGACTTGTACCAGGAGGGCATCTCAGCAGGTTTCCCATGCTCGTTTCTCCCTCCAGCTCTGACCAGTGAAGATAAACTCTTGGTCCACAAGATGCACCAGACAAATTCCCAGACCACCTCTGTCCTCTGCAGACTCCCAACATTGGCTTTTCTAGTCCACATGGTGCCTGCAGAGTCTTGGTGTCACCTGCCCCTGCAGCAGGCACCAAAGGTCCTTCTAGCAAGGACCTGGTATCCTTCAGTCACCTGAGATCCAGCATGTGGCCTCACCATGAGAGTGGATGGGGCACATGGCAAGCCCAGAAGAAACACAGTTCTGATCCATCGCAGCTCAGACTGTGCTGGCTAATGCTATCCTCTGTGCAGAAAATATCTGCCCCCAAGATCTGTTTAATCCTTGAGCAAGCTTCTTACCCCCAAGCAGATAAATAAAACCAAAAGATCTTCCTTCATACCACAGCATCACCAAAGTATACACAACTCCACATGCCTTTTCTACTGTGTCCTAGCCCCACAGTTGTTGCTCTGCAGGACCAGAGTCAGATGTATGACTGCAGGAAGGATCAGCCCAGTCTGCAGTAGGGCACCACCAGCACCAAGCCTTGCTGGTCCTGGGAAGGGGGAGCAGCCTTACAGGGAAGTGCCCCTGCAACAAGACACCTTCACCCCGTAATATGTTGAGGGATCTTCCTTTAGTCTACTCTTGTGCAGAGGGGGCAGAGAAAGAACAGATTCCAGCTTGGCAGACCAGGCATCATGGGGAAGGCTAGGGAAAGGCTTTGCGAAAGCGATGTATATAGCCAGGGACTGAGCCAAGGTGGACAGCTACCCTTCATCCATAGTGCCCTCTGGAAAAGGCTTTGTATCCTTAAAGCTTTGGGTATTAGCACGTACTGTTGGATTCCTCATTCTCAAGCCTATTCCTTTATGGAAGAAGAGCCCAGGAGAGCCTGGGAAGCCTTAGGAAGTTGCAGTTAGCTCCTCAGGTCCATCTCCTGGTAGCCAAATATACGCCCTGTGATTTTTTGTCCAACACATTGCTGTGATGCTGTTGGTGGCTGGCTCTCACTGAGAGACACACACATATATCAGTGCTGTTTGCACTGCTGTTGCAGTCCATTTCACTCCACTGGTCTAAAGTTCCCAAACTGGTGCAAGTCAAAAAGTGGCCACTCTCCCTCCTCCAGGTTGAAAAGCTTCCCTTATTTTCAGTCTTCTACTTCTCAAGGCTTTGCTTCCCTCCCATCCTGCCAGTATCCAGCCGGGATGAAGGTATTTGCTGGGCAGCTTACTGTTGAGTAGGAGGTTTCTTGTGCAAATAAGTCAGTATCCCACAAAAGCACAACGGCACCTCTGGGGAATGAGGAGCTGCAGATGTCCCCTGGAGACGTGGCTGAGCTGGTGACCCTGGTGACATTCAGTGCATTTCAGGCCAGCTCCCAATTCCTTACGATCCCTGGTGAAAATGCACCATGCTCCTCTACTATGTCTCTGTCCCAGCACACCACTGACACTCCCTTGTGCAGGTACCATGGCACAGAGACATTGGGCTACATATGTCACCAAATCTGGCTCCAAAGCTTGAGATAAGGCCCCCAGGTAGGTCTACCACTATGTGGGAGAACAGCCTTCAAGCTGTAGGTTGAAGGCCCATTAGACTAAACACTGTACAAATACTTTTTGGTGGACAGATGAACGATCCTTGCTCCCAGAGCTTACAGTCTACAAGAACAGAGCCACAGCTCCACCACTATACAGCCATTACACCTATTTACATCCACAAACATTTTGGTCCCAGCAGAACATGTCTTTCAGACCAATGGCACAGCAATCAGCTGATCTGGGGGCAGGGACTTGACTGCTCTCTCTTAATTTGCAATGCCAGACCATTTCTAACCATTATTCTTTCCACCTCTGGTTTGGATCTGCAGCCCCAGCACCCTCCTCTGGCCCGCAGAAGAAAACACAGTATCAAAACAAAGTCCTTTCCTGCCTGCCTGAGCCCTGGGGCCCGTGAGGGTGTCCCACAATGCCAAGGAGGTGATGGGTGATGGGCCAGACAGAGAAATGGGTGAGATGCTGGGTGATGCTGGACCCAGCTTTCCCCTGTTTTGGCCTCACAAGCTGTTGACACTGTGCTCGTTGACATGTTTGCAGCGGGACAGGGCGGGGGGGGAGGCAGACCCCTCCATATTTGAGCCCCAGTCAGGGGGGCTCCCCAGCAGGGAGACATCCAGACTGCCGTGATGCTGGGACATGTGTCTGACAAAGCTCTTCTGAGAGGAGATATTAGTCAGTTAGTTTGTATCTTGATAAGGCACACCCTCCCCATCGCCTTGGCCAGCACAGGTCGGCACCCCATAGGTGGCCCCAGCTGACTCTCCAAAACCTTGCTGGATGCCTCCATGCCTAGGTGCACCCCGAGTGCAATGCCAGCAGACCCAGCCACAGACCTTACAGAGCATACCTGTTCCTGCAAGGCTGCTGGACAGGTGCTTTAAGGCTTTGAAATATAAGGCGACCCTGAGGCTCACCAAGCACCCCAAAGCCCCTCTTCTTCACACTGCACAGACCCCAGCCCCGCTAGAGGTGATTCCCCAAGGCCATGGGGATGGAGAAGGGGAAGGCTCTGGATCCAGGGGGCACAGAGAAGCAGGAGAGGATGATGTTTCTATCAGGGATTTGGAAAGCATCCTCAAGGGAATTCAGGTCCCTCCAGGATCATTTGCTTTTAACAAGCAAACAGACAAAGGCTGCTTGGTGTCCTAATTACATCTGTTAGAAACCTTAGCTAGGAAAAATATACCCTTGTTAAGTCCCTTCTCCATTTTTAACCATGTTTTCCATCCAAGAAAATAGAGACCAAGACTATGATTAAATAAACAACCAGCACACCACCTAGCTCTTTCCTTCCCCACCTTCCTTCTTCACTCATGACCACCCAGACAGTTAATTTACAGTTTGGGCAATTCTCTGCCAAGCCTCACAGGAGGCAGGCAGCTCAGCCTGAAAGCTGATTGTCCCTCCTAGGCTCCAGGCTCTCTGCAACATCCTCCAACTCATCCAGGATTTCGGAGAAAGACGGTCTCTTAAACGCTTCCACCTGGAACAAGAAGGGAAAGCTGAAGAGGACACCCCAAACAGGAGGCGGGTGCTCTGCAGCAGCTCTGCTTGGGTCCCCAAGGCTCAGCAATGACATCCATCCATCATTAGCATTGGTCTGGGTCACATGCCTGCTGATGGAGCTTTCTGGCATCACCACTTGGGGATCCAGACCCAGGCCGCTGCAAACGAGCAGCCACAGGACAGGTCCCATGGTGCCGTACAGCTCAAGCAAAGGCGGTGAGATGCTGAAAACCAGCCTGACATACCCCAACCTGGACAGGGTGTGGGAACTGTTCATTCCAAAGCCCACCCAAATGGTGCAGGGGCAGGCGTTGTGCAGGAAAAGCCTGCAGGTAGGTATCAAGAGGGAGATGTATCATTCCCTGAGTTTTTTCATGACAGTAAGGATCTAAATGTCTTGTCTCTCTGATGCAGCTCACCCTCAGTGGGCTGTGATCCCCCAGCCCTCCCAGTGCCATCAGGGTGTACCCAAAGTGAGGGACATGCCCTGGGGCACCCCCGTCCCACACCTCCACTGTGCCATCCTGGGGCTGCCCTTTGTGCATGACCCCACAGAGCCAGCCTGAGGAGCTGCACCAGAAACTCCCCAAACCTGCACACTTCACAAGGGCAGAGAAGAACAACCCAAGGGCCATTTCTGGCAGAAGACTGTTATTATATCAACTTGCATTAGGAAGCTGCCCATCAGAGGTACAAGATCTGAATGCACATAAATCTAAGCCAGTTGCTGACATAAATCACTCCTCTGATTCAGGGCAAGTTATTCACACATTCTTGGGACACGTGCAAGGATTTACTTCCATTTGCTGCCTTGAGCTCCTAGCAATTAGGTGTATTATGATCACCCAGCTTCTGCACTCTTTGCCTGATTACTGCCTTTGTTTTTCTCTTCCTTTCAGAGATTAACTTGAATCTTCGCTTTCTCTCTGCTTTGCCTCCTGAGGCTTTGGGGAGCATGGGGAGGCCTCCCAGCTTTCACCATTACCTTTCATGCTAAAGCAAGAAAGGTTGGAGAACTATGCTCTGATGATATCTGTAACACCAGGGCTGGTAACAGCGAGGCAGTGCCCTCCAGAGAGGATCAGCCAGGTGCCTCTGCCTGCAGCCTGGCTTAAAGAGGGATTGGACATTCATCACCAACCTGCTTCCCACTCTGGGGTTGACATGCAAGGAAACAGGCAGGACTGTGGGATGTTTTGGGCTGTAATACACAAACTAAACACTTCTCCTATGGGCAAAACTACACCATGCATACTACTGGCCCAGGAAGATCTCATCATTTCACAGCTCAAGTGGCAGAGCCCTGTCTGCTAGCACTGAGAGCAGCAGGTTCAAGCTCTCCAGGGTTCACAACAATTTTGGTCTCTGTCATACAAGTGTGATATAAATCCAATAAAACCAAAGAAGAAAAAAAAAAAAGAGCAAGAATCTCACCTGACAGCAGCTAGCAGCAAGGTCCATCACCTGCTTGGGGCATTCACTGATCATCCCTTGGAAGGCAGCAACATCCAAGCCATAATCCTGTGAGGAAGGGGGAAGAGTATGTAGAAAAGACTTCAGCTATAAAGTCCTTTAAAAGCTCTTCATCCTTCAAAAGGTACCAGAGCAACATCAGCTCTGGCAGGACTGCAGAGATGGTAAATCGTTAGCAGAGCTGGGAGACTGCTGCCTGCTCTGTGCTATCCCTGCAGGGCAGTATGTGCCCTCCTGGAAAAGCTCAAAGGCACGAAGAGCCACAAAGGCAGAAACCAGTAGAGGAAACAGCACCAGGTGCTGAGCAGTGGCTACTGAGCACAGGAACTGCAGAACTCTGATCTGCCAACAGCAACTGAGAGTCAAAGGGGTCCAGCCAGCTGTTTCCATAACTACAGCTTTGTCCCTCCAGAGTTCCAAGGCTCTGATATGTAATTCTCCTTCATCTTGTGAACACAGATGGAGCGTTAGTTCCTGTTCAGTCTCACAGAAACATGGAATAATCTCTGGTCACTGCAGGTTCTTTGCACTGCTCCTTGGAAACCAGCAATTTGCTGTTTTCCTGCTGGGTTTTTCATCCCTGTTCAGGATAAACTTTCCCTTTCCACTTTGTGGGAAGGAAATGTTGCAAATGTTGAAACAAAAAAGGCCATGTTTTTAGGGAAGCCCACGGTTTCCACATGAACTGTGTATTAACTGCAAGGTATTTGAAAATAAACATTTGTGATGAAAGTTGTGTTTAACCTGCAAGTTCAATGCAGAAGCTGAAATGTCAAAGCAAAATGAAGTATTTGGAATTAAGGTCTTTAAACAGAAGTACTTCATCTCAAATTGCTGATCTAACAAAAGTTTTGAAACTAGAGATGCACTGAACTCTTGTGCACTGAAAATTTTGAGATCAGATTTTCTCATAGAAAAACCTCTAGAGAGAAACCTGAGTGTAAACACATACACACGTGTACAGGTTGGTCTGGCCCAGAGAGAAGCCACAACCTGGTACCATGGAGAAAACACCGTTAGGCTGCAGGAATCATTACCTGAGTCCTGGGAAGCACTTCGGGGTCAGCTGGGATCCTGCCCAGGATTTCACAGAGGACAATGCCAAAGGAAAACACGTCCACCTGCAGGAGGGGTGGGAGAGGGGGAGGTGGGACAGGGCATGCACAGAAGCAAAGCATGAGAAAGTGGAGTACCAACGACAAGGTCTTTGTATTAGTTACACAAAAGCCCATCAAAAAAGCCCATTGGAGTTGGAGGCAGCAAACCCCTAAACTTCTTCTGGGCTTCTGAATTCACCCAGAAACACCACAGCGCCACTTAGAGTCCAGCCTCATCTTTGGGAAGCCTGGCCCCATGCTCTTGTTCAATGCGTCTGGTGCTTCTACCACAGCTCTGGCACCCCCCACAAATCCTGCAACAGGCTCATTAGGCTGTAAGTCATCAAGCATCTTCCTCAGAGAGGCTTCACTGTGTTTGTCCATGGCATTAATCCATTTGCCTAAAAGTTTAACTTAACAAGGCCACATAAGGAACTTCCAAGTTGCTAAGCAGAGCATTACTGAGCAAAGATCCAGGTAGTAGGGCAACGTTTCCCGGGGAAGGAGGGAAGGGCTTTTCTGCTGTTGGGACATGTCACCAGCAAGCAGAGGAGACATCCCCCACGCTCGCTTGGAAGCTCTGAGGATGAACAAGGAGCTGTGAAGCAGTGCCATACCTTCCGGTCATAGGGCTCTCCCCGCAGCATCTCAGGAGCCATCCAGAAAGCAGAGCCCACCAGAGACAGCTTCCTCTCCACATCCTTCACAGGCAGCTCCACCACTTCCCTGGCCAGCCCAAAGTCAGTCACCAGCGCCTCACGGCCCCGTGGCGTCACTCGAATGAGGCAGTTCTGAAAGGAGCCCATGGGGTACGGCATGAGACGCCCAGCGAGGAAGGGCCTGGACACTTCACTGAGTGGCACCTCACCGGCCCTCAGCCCCCCTTATCATTACAGGCTCTCCCCTTGTCAGACACCTGCATCTTGGCAGCACACATGGAGTACATGGGGCAGATTAGGGATGGACCAATCACATCTGAAACCAGGAAAAGTCCTTCAAAGAAGCTGTTCAACAAACATGATGATCCACATCCTTTTATCTGAAAGAGACCTCGAAATGTGCATGTTGACCCTGTTCACCATTCAGCTGAAGGCAGGCAGGATCACAGCCACAGCCCTTCTTACTGCCCATGGCTACACATCCATAACATGGCTTTCTGGAGGAATTCCTATAAAATTATCTTAAGTTTTCTCAAAATCCCAGCAATTTCAGCCTGTTCAGTTCCCCAGGATTTCCTCCTCGGCATCTGCTCCCACAGAACTAGCAGAAATGACAGGCATCTTCTCCACATGGCTCTCACTAACAACTAGGTTTCAAGTGAGCATGTACACACTTCTGTCCCATATCTTCAGCCATCATCACTGCCTGTTTCCTAAGTTTCCTTGGGGAAGGATGAACCTCTTTCAGGGTTGAACCACCGCAGCAAGACAGAAGGGAGATGCAAGGACCTCCAACACTCACTAACTTTCCACAAGCAGATCTGGAAAGCTCCTCAGCTCATCAGTCACCACCAAATAGAAAAGTACATCTCATCTGACTTCAGAGCACACTGGCCAAGAAACCCGTGGTCAGAATGAACCAGGTTCTTGCCTTGTCCTTGCCTAGTGTTTGCAATTTCATGGTTAGTAACTGAGCCAAGTAAACAGCCTGAGATTACAAAGGTGAGTTTCATTCCTGTGCTGATGTCTCAAGACTGTAATGCTTGACTGGCTTCCCCACTGCCAACCTTCATCAGTATTTCAAGTTTCTCTTAAAAGCTCACAGAGCACGAACAAAAATGGCTTGTAAGAGATACATCACCATCCAGCATCAACTGTAAGAACCTGCAGGCTCCATTTCTATGAATTACCAAGCCAGCCTCTGGCATCAGCTGACACAGATATGGTCCAGGTTAGTGGCCAACCCCTCAGTTCACATCCCCTGTGATATCATGGACACACTGCAGATCCACCTGAGGTTTGGATAGTTTCGCACAAGGCACTGCCCCACCATGTTCCTACTGCTGTACCAGTGGCAGAGGAAGAGACACATCAAAGCCTGTCTGCATGGACAAACCTGAGAATGGCAAAGCCCCAGTGGTGTTCCTGCCCCCAACAAGCAGCATGAGTCCACGCTGAGGAAAGCAGCCTCCCAGCCAGAGGGCCAATACACTAGGAACATGATATGCCTTTGCATTACACCCAAAGCCTGTCTCCAGATGCCAGTCTTCACAGCTGGCATGCTGCCAGGGTGTGAAACCCATGGAGGTGACCATGGTAAAATTGGTGACCTGGACCCTCTGGATCAAGATGGAACAACTTTCCTGCACTTGAGTGAGCAGACACACATCTCCTGAGCTCTGCTGGTGCTCTGCACACAGACAGGGACCATCTCACATGGCACTTGCCCCCAGAGCCCATGACTAGCTGCTGTTAGCAACAGCTTCTTCCTTGCTGTGAGCAGAAAAGGAAATCTCTAAATCTGGCACAGCTTCTCCTGCAACTGCAGGCAAAGAAAACCATGTGCAATCCTGCACACATTTTCATCTCATTTCTTTTCTGACAGCAACAGCACTAGGAGCAATATATTTTTATCTCTATCTGGGTTTCCTGCTTGGCAAGCAATGAATGCAATGTAATGGCAGGTTTTACCAAGAAAGCTTCCTTGCCTGCAGAAGGATTAGCACAGAGCAGAGGACCAGCATGAGGCCTGAGGTCTCCTGGTTACAGCCCTAAAGGATCCCTGTATGGTCCCCTAACACAATCGTCTTCAGCAGTCCAGGGGTGACATCCGCTTTCCAGCTGCATACCTTAGAGTTGAGATCTCGGTGGTAGATGTTCTTGGAGTGCAGGTAGATCATGCCTCTGGTGATGTCAGAAGCTAAGTCCACTTTTTCCTTCCACGTCAAAGCAATGTCTTTGCTGGCCAGGAGCTCCTCCAGGCAACCCCCATTCACGTACTGTGAACAGAGACAAAAAGCGGGTGGCTGTGCAGCGGGCCACAGGCTCCCCTGGAGCTTCCCAGGTGCTGAATCCTCCCTTGCCAACTCAGGAGGCCCTCCTTCAGGATGGAGATTGGGAATGCCACCGCACACAGGGGCCCCTGTATGTTGCATGGTGGAAATACCCCTCCTGGCACAGCAAGTCAATGCCGGTCTCTGCGCTCTGCCCCACTGCAGGGACAACTGTATAAGCCAGCCATGGTCCTCACTCACAGGCAGCAAAATAGAGGCAAAAAGCCTGGCAGCAGCTCAGTCAATGCCTTCTGCCACCAACAGCATAGGAACAAGGTGAGACCTCCCCAGTACCAGTGCAGGCTTTTCCATTAGACCACACCACCATTCCAGAGCCACCCTGGAAGTCCGGCCACTCTCTGTCTGCTTTACTTTTCTACTCCTGCCCTCCATCCCTGGCTCCTCTTCTCCCTGCCAGCTGACCCATTCTGGCCTTTTGGTGGTATCAAGACAACCTGAAACACTTTTTGGCTATCCTGCTTGAATCTCATGGCCTTGCAGTGACTGTGGCCCACTCCAGCTGTGACCACCTGTGGGGCAGAAAGGACCAGAAGCCCCTCCGAGGCAATCTTGCTAGTCCAGAGCCATTCACAGGCGCAGGAGTTGGAAAGGTGTAGATACTCATTACAGGATATCTGCCATCCTCCCTGCCAAAGAACCACAGGGTCCTTGCCTGCCCACAGCACACTTAAGAGCAAGAAACCTTTACCTCCAGAACAGGGTACAGCTTGTCATCCTTCACACATATCCCAAGGTACCTAAGCAGAAGAACACACCAAAAAAAAAGAAAAGAAGCCATCAGGGTTCAGCTCAATCCCTCACTGCAGAACTGCCTTAGAGACACCAAGCCAACTCCAGCCCCTGCCAGTGCCCACTGCTCATGGCCAGAGGATGTGCCCACCTGACAATGTTGGGGTGGGACAGCTTCTGCAGCAGGCTGATCTCACGCACAATCACCTCTTGGTCCACGTCATTCTTGTAGATCTTCACCACCATCACTTTACAAGCAGCAGCCTGGGTCACCTGGAGCCAAGGTTGGAGCAGGACATCTCTTAGCTTCCAGAGGTCTGCCAGCCCCTCTGGACAACAGCATCCCTTCCCAACCAAAGGCCTGAATCTCATTTTCCTGCTGCCCAGCTTTGCACAGTCATTTGCACAAGTGCCAGGTGCTGTCCCTTCCACATAAGCTCCACTCCAGTGATGCCTACCTGGGTGACTGGGGACAGCCACGTCCCTCCTCTCCCAACACATCACAACACTATTTCTCTGCCAAAATTTCTGTGTTCCTTGGGCTGCAGCAGTTTCTCAACCCACACTGGGTTACCACAGAGCTGACCTTCTCCCCTCCAATGCCTTGCATTCAATGTCCCTTGTCAACCGCAGCCTGCCCCACATCTCCATCCTACCTGGGTCTGACCACTGCACAAGGCTGCTGGCCACACTCCTTATCCCCAGTTTCTTCTGCACCCCTGCCCATGGCCATCCCCCCTCCATCCAGGCTCTGCCAGACAGACACAACAAAGAAAGTGCAGAGCCAGCTCATTTCTGCTCCACATCCCAGGATGGAGGTCTCATGTCTGCTTCCCAGTCACATGCTAACCAGAACCTCTGCTGTGGATTACCACCAGACATTTCAATCCTAGGGGTTCCCCCAGGCAGTGATATTGGAAGCTAAAGAACAGAAAACAAAATGCTCTTCCCCCACCTTACAACACTGAACAGACTGAGCAGGCATTTTTAGGAGAAAATTTGCTATCCCCTGCAGAGGCACCAGGGTTGGGCAGTACTGAATGCAGGGGTTTCATGCAGGCTGCAGGACATGCAGCGGTGCCCTGGCTCTCAGCCCCAACAGGACCCTGCACTGCAGCTCATGTTATCTGGGTTGACAATCCAAATAGCAGCTTCCAGACCACATCACAGAGCATTGTGGTACTTGACCATTTCCATCCTCAATTAACATCTGTTTTAAGGCAACTCATATTTCAAGTGTGGCCCACACTGAGAATCCAGCCACGTGTTTAATTTTCTCTCATTTTGTTTGTGGGGTTTTGTTTGTTTTAAGGGAAAAATTGTTTAGACACAGCATGAGCTGGCTTAAAAGCAGCACTCTGAGTCCCAAAGTGTCACCCATTGCTCTCTGTGATGGTCACTTTACAGATAAGGTTACTAGCCCAGATGAGGAGAACGAAGAGCTGCACGTAAGACCTAGCTGGGCTGGAAGAAGAGAAAGGTTCATTATAATCAGGGTCATAAAACAAACTGTCTTAGGAGTAACATGAACTGCTGCTTCCTTTCTGAAGGAACACATCCTGATAGTCGATGTTATTGCTGGAATAACTCTGCCTCTCTAGTCAAGCAGGTCGTAAGGAAGCCAGGGCTCTGACACCCTCACCTGATGGGACTTCATAACTACAGACCATGGGTCACTAATCATATGTAACTGATTATTAACTGTAATTGCACAGATGTAAATGTAAGAGATGCTATCAATCATCTTTGCCCAAAGACTGTGTGTGCCCTTATGCCCAGGACAGAGTACAGGGAGCAGCTGGAATCTGGAAGTTCTGAAAAACTTTCAGAAGAGCTAATACTGAGTTTCAGTGAGACCTATTAGCTCTGCACAAATTCTGGTGGAGACTGAGCTACACGGAGCTTCCAGGTGAGATTGCATGTCCCAGCTGGACACCAGCAGAGTTCACAAACACTGCCAGCGCCGGTGGAGTCGGTAAGCGCTGAAGGGGTTCCTGTCCACAGGGCAATGCAAAGTCCAGCCTGGTCTGGACAAGAAATGACTGAAAAGCAAGGATAGACCCACACCCAAAAAAAAGTAGTGGAATCGATGGGGAAAGGTGATGGGCAAAGGTGATGGGCTTAGAAGGCCTCTTCTCAAGACCATAGGCCCTAAGACTTTGCTTTGGCCAACCTGCAGCAGCCCTTGGTCCACTCTGAATCACGCAAAGTGTCCAGTTTTGTCCTGGATTGGTGTGAGAACCAGGAAAGTGCAGAGGGGCCTGCAAAGTATTCTCATTTCATGCTAACGAGCGATGAAGGGTAAAGATCTGGTGTCAGCCTTGACTAGAGAAATAAAGCTGAAAATCTGGCACTGGAATGTTGCAGAAAGACAGGGAGTGGGACTGTTCTTCCTAATGTGTATGAAGCTTTTTGAGGGCCAACAGAGAAAGAGGTTGCTCAGAGGCTCCCTTTGGGCAATGCCTTAAAACAGCCTCAGAAAAAAGAAGTCACATTGCGTTTGTCTCCTGCTTTTGAGCACCTCAGACCCCTATGTATGACAGCTGCCAGTGAAAGAAGCTTTATGCTTTCCCCAAGAGAAACTTGCACTTGAATAGCTCCTTATTGCACATCAAAAGACTAAAGCAGAGAGAAGAAAAGTACCTTCTGCCCAGGTCATGCAATACATAACTCGCAGAGCAGAAGTCTGTGCCCAGACCTCTTCAGAGTCACCAACTAGAACCAAGTGAATCCTCCTTCCTCAGCCAACCCACTCCTGAGAATGGCCTTAACTGAAGGACAAAAGATGGCAAAAGCAGCAGGCAGCCACCACAGGCAGGGTCAGCACTTTGGGGAGTCTATGTCCTTGCTGCGGGAACACTTTGGAAGACATCATCTGTTGGCAAAGAGCTTCAAAGGACCATCGCCAGTGATGCTTCGCAGCAGGAGTGCTGCTGTTCAGGGCTATGAGTCCACAGGGGACTGGCTGACCCAGGAGGACCACAAGTCATCAGAGCACTTGGTTATGGTCACGCTTGAGTCGCCAGACAAATGACAAGTCCCCACAAAGGACTGTCCTCGTCCCAAATCCTCCTCTGCTGTCTTTTGACTGTTTGACACATAGCATTTCATTCAAACCTTATTTTTTTTACATTTCTTTTTCTGCTTCTACTTGAAGAAGTTATTTAATTTTCATTCAAGATCTCTGTCTCCAGCCTGCCTACTGCTGGAATTTCATTCACTGCCAGGGCAGGAGGAAAATGTCATGCATGGAGGAAACAGCAACTGTTACTATGAAAATCTACTAGATAAAGGAAAGATAAAGCAATGGCAACAGCATGCTGTGTAGGTGGGGAAAGCAATTACTTGAGGGAGGCTGTGGTGGGGAGAGGTATTTGTCATGTATTGCTCCAGTATGCCATAGACCTTTGGCTGGAGATTTCCCCTTGAACAGCTTTAGCGTACTGTCCCTGGACCTGAAGTTCACCCAAAGGCTTTATCACAGCACCAAGCCCAGATGCAGCAGAGGAGGAGACAGAGCCTTGAGAAAGCAATGTGTGTTTATCTATCTGACTTGCGTATTTTCTGCAGTTCCATGGCCAGGTCCTGCCAGCCTGGCTCCATTAGTTTCAACTGGCCACATGTGCTTACACCAGCCAGGGACCTCACCCAGAATATGTCAGAGTACCTCTCTGGCAGAAGCATCTTATGCTGGCCCAGGAGAAATGTGCACTCATGATGTTTATCACGGGGCCAGTCAAGCTAAGGAGCTGAAGACAATGGTAGAGTCAGGCCCAATTTGTTTCCACTGGGTCTGTGTCATGTGCCAACAAACAAGACCAGCGTCAGCAGCCACATTCTGGAGGGCTGCTGGGAGGAGAGATAAGGTGGGCAAACCTGGCCACACTGCAAAGCAACGTGGCATCTGCTCTCAGAGATGAAGGCTGAGTCTCGCTTCCTAACATGTTGCTGTTCACAGAGCAGTGATCACCGAAGGCTGCAGGGAAAGAGCACATAGTCCCATCCACTCCCTCCAAATAAGCAGTGGCACTCCCAGGCTAAGGAGCAGCACTGGAGGGTGAGAAAAGCTAGCAGCACCCCAGATTCTATGCTTGCTCAGAGAGGGTTAAACAAATTCCTACACTAGTGGAGCTTGGTGCAGGGAGTGAAAACAGCCCCAGTAAGAAAAGCAGTTTTGCTTTGGTGATATACCATCCATGTATCATGCACTAGCTTGCAGGGAGCCATGGGTCTCCTGACATGAGGAGCAGAGGCAGAAGTGGACGGACCAGCAGCCTGTCCAGCCTGACTCTGCTCCAGGTCCCCTACTCTTCCCCAGCATCACTGCAACGCAGGGCAGCAGCCAGAGAGGGGTGACAGCGCTGGCATCTCCTCAGGGTGTGGGTGGCAGGTATTCTGGGAGACACACACAGCTTAATTTTACATTCTTTTTCCCTATATATTTTGCTACAGTTTTGACAATAAAACCTGCACAGAGGTTTATCCCCTAATCTCATCCAATACCCAGTTTAGCTCCCTGACAAGCCTGTTGTATGGCTAGGTGACAGCATCAATGAATATTGATTGATCAAGTCCTTCCATCTCCTTTTCCGTTATGGAAGGGGAGATGTGCATCAAAGGTGATGTGCTAGGTGTGCTGAGGGGGGTGTCCTTTCCTCCCTCACCCCATCCAACCTGCAAGAGTGAGCTGGGAGGGATGAAGAAGAGGAAATAAGCTTGGGGACAGGTTTCTCAGCTGAGGCACCACCTACACAGCCTCAGCAGCTGCTCAGCTGCTCTCACACAGGTTGCAGGCTGCCTGCATGTCAGTTTACCTTGTAGACCTTGGAGAAGAAGCCGCTGCCTATCAGCTCGGTGTTGAAGTTTTCCCAGAACTCCAGTTTCCTGACAGCCGTGCGCAGCCTCTGCCAGCGGTCCACGTGGTAGTAGGTGTCGGACGACTCACCATAGTACTGCATGGGGCCAGTGGGCTCTGGTGCAATCAGCCCTGCCTCGCACATCATGGGGGCAGCAGCTAAAACACAGTGTATTTCACAGTGAGCCAACAGCGGCATTTGGACATCAAACAAATACCTGCACTAGAGACCAGGACTGGACGAAGCCTCAAGAACAGAGTGAGAGGAGACGAGGTACCAAGATGATGCACCCTCCAGCACACAGTGGGAAGCACCCATGGGTACTGTCTCCTGGATAAGTCACCTGGGGCTTAGGCCTGCCTTATGCAGGTTGTATTCATACTTCTTTAGACTAGGACTTAAAGATGTCAGATTAGCATATATTCACTTACACCTTCTAAAGGTTTACAACAGATAGGATGCATCACCTTCAACACATCATAGTGCAGCCCAGGAAAAGTCCAAGGGACTCAGTCTTGCTCAGCCAGCTTATGTTGGGTTAAAAGCCACTGTGTCTAAATTGGGCTTTTAGCATAGGTCACGTGCCACACACTAATGCCACATCTGTTACCCCACAACTCTAGACAGGGCTTAGCTACTATTGCAGACAGAGGGTCATGGCTTGAGTGTGCTAGCAGGAAACACTCAGTCTTAAAAGGGTCCTCACTTGGCAGATGCCTACAGTTCATTATAAGCCCTAAAGAATCACATAACAAGGAAATGCCCCAGCAACCCTCCTGCTGTCTGTGTATCCCGAATTTGATTCCAAGCCCCAAGTCCCTCTGCTAAATTGTCTTCCTTTTCCACTGCTCTGATTCTCACACTTCCCTCTCCAGTCCCCTCCCTCCACTCCCCTTTCTACCTTTTATAGCCCCAGGCTCACACTCCCCCAAAGCCATATGCCATCCTTCCCCTTCTCCCGCATGACTTGCCTCTAGTTACTTCCAAAAATGCAGGGGAGGCAAATCCTGTGGAAAATGGGCTTCTGACACCCTGAGTGAGGTGAATAAGGCACCTACTTCTGGATAATTGTAAACAACCATTGGTACACTACAAAGCTGTCTGAGCACCTTCTACTCACAGCATGTGCTCAGATTCCTGGGGGCCTGGTGAGCTGCTTTGCCAGACTTGTGAGACAAAGGCCAACAAAGGGTAGTTCTTCAACGCTTCCAGCTGAAGCAAAGGTAAGCTCTGCCCTCCCTAAGCTTCTGTCCCAGGTCTTGCAGCAAACAAGGAGCTATATCAGCATCCCTTGATCCCATGGATAATTTGGTGGATAATTTCATGGCTACTTTGCTTCTACAGGGCAAGACAAAATCTGCACTGAGACATGCATAAAATATTTGCACCAGCCACCTCATCCACCCACAGTCCAGCCAAGATCCAAAGAGAGAGCTGCCAAATGGGGACAGACAGATGTGGTGGCAGGGCTAAGCAGGGCAAGAATTCAGGAAGAGCTGAGGGTTGGGACATGGGGCAGGCAGGCAGACAGTACTGAGCAGGGCAGGGATCCCTGACACAAACAGCAGGCAAGCTCCAGGCTGAGACTCAGGGAGCTGCAACGCAGCAGAACAACAGCAGAAACTTCTGAAGGAAGCCAGACCGCAAAGTTGCTATCAAAGGACAGTCCCACACAGACTGCAGGAATCCAGTCCCAGCAAAATCAGCATGACACATGGGCTCCTACCTGACTGCATGGCAAATAGCTGCAAGACCAAAGCCTCCAAACTGCTCATGAACAGGGGAGCCCATGGCCATGATCGGTGGAGAGCACTCAGATCAGGCAGGGCACATGAAAACGTTAGCCTGTTACAGGCTTTACCCCTGCTCTGACCCAAGAAACATCCCATGATGGGACACAGCTGTGGGGACCTGCTTGGAGGTTTTTGCCTCAGGATGGTCACTGCTCCTGACAGCCATCACTGTCTGAAAGGCAGCTGTGTCTGGCCCCCTCCCATCCAGCCTGCACCCAGGCACTGCGCGCAAGAGAAGAAGAGGCCTGTGCAGAAGCAAGGGGCAGAACTCACATCAATCACACTCAGCGCTGCTAAAGCCACCCTGCTCTGACTGTGTCACTGAAGGCATTACCTCCCCCACAGAGGCAATTCATCCAGATTCCGCAAGGATCTTTCTCTCTGGTGTGCAAAACAGCCCAGCTTTGGCAGGGCTTGGGGCACAGGTGCAGCAGGGCAAGGCACTGGCACAAGCTAGTGGCAGGGTGCAGCAGGAGGGCAGACACAAGAGGTGCTACAGCTCCAGGCCAAGCACGTGGTGCTTCACATTTAGTCAGCAAGACACAGAGGAGTTCCTCCACATCCTGCACAACTGGCCAGGACATAAGGGGACGCTGACAGGGTCTGACAGATCCTGCTGACCTGAAGCCACCAACGAAACATGGAGAAGGAATGGCAAAGGGTCACCCTGAGTGTCAGACCCATCTTTGAGGATGCAGTCTCAGGGTTTACCCACTACTTCCCCCAGTCCTCAGACAAGGTTTGCCCTCTCCTCTTGTGTGGACGGTGAAACAGTAACACAGCAAGCCACAACCTCACCCCAGAGTGCCAGTCACTCACTGGCAGAGCTGTGGCAAGCACTCCCAACTGCTACTAGCCACCAGAGACACTTATCCAGCAGGCTCTGAAAGCCTCTCCCTCCACTCTAGCACCCTTCAGTAACAAAGAGAAAGAGGAGCCTTTCCTCAGCAGAGCAGCATACCCACAGATGCTCTGTTACCCAGCCACCTTGGAGCTTGGAGCCCCTCCTAACTGCAGGGTGACCCAGGCACAGGTGTGACAGGTCCCCTCAGGCAAGGCAGGCTGCCTCGGGCTGCCTCTTCCACAGGGAATGGTTTCCTTTTCAGAGGCCTCCCTGTTCAGTGCTTTTCCCATGTACCATCTCCTCCTGCATTGACCTAGTTCATCAATTGCCTCTTTGTCCAGTAAAGAATTCCTGCAGCATCCCCAGTGTGCCAGGAATGGCCCCTTGCATTATGCTGCTGAGTGGGACCCAAGTCTTTATTTTCTTCTTATAAATGTGGCTTTTTGTCCCCAGATTAGTGCTGACACATAGGCTGGGGGAGAAAATGGGCTTTCAAATGCCAAGATTTCCTAGGAGCCAGCGAGGGAGGGGGAGAGGGAGGAGCAGGAAGGGTGGTCTCGGGGGACAGCCCGCAGCCCCAGGCAGTAGGGCAGGGCGCATCCTTGCATCACTAGCAAGGTTTAGAGCACCTAAAGCTGTGCTTTTGTCTGTGCAGGAAAAGCGCTGGGGCAGCTGCCTGTATCCCTGTTGCTCCCAGCTTGAATTCAACCCACTGAGAGGAGACCAGGCTCAGGCATAGGAGGAAGCTCATTCCCTTCGAGGCTGCCCTGCGTGCAGGGAGAGGGGAGACAGAGGGCGGACCGTGGTGCGACTGGCTTCCACCACCCTCTGGGGAAACTGCCCATGTCCCCAAGCTTTCAGCTGTGCTTGCAGCGAGCGAGGAGCTCCCTCTGTACACAGCAGCCAACATGCACCTCCCAGCTCCCCAGGATAGCAAGAAGTCGCCGCAGTCACCGGGGCGAAGGGCTCGGGAGCGGACGCTCGTGCCGGGGCACCCTTGCTCTAAGACGGCAAAAAGCGCAGGGCGAGAGCGGGCAGCCCC